GTCATAATTACGATGAGACGATAAGTGCAATTAATGGTAATAAGAGTGTGTCCTCTTCTTAACGATAATGGATATATCTCTTTGAAAATAATAATAATAAAACCCAATAATAATAATAATAATAATAATAATAATAATAATAATAATAATAATAATAATAATAATAATAATAATAATGATAATGATAATAATAATGATAATAATAATGATAATAATAATGATAATAATAATGATAATAATAATGATAATAATAATGATAATAATAATGATAATAATAATGATAATAATAATGATAATAATAATGATAATAATAATAATAATAATACCAAATAATAATAATACCAAATAATAATAATAATAGTAATAATAATAATAGTAATGATAATAGTAATAGAAGAAATGATGAGCAAATTGCTACAGAATTGCTATAGAATTCGTATGGAGAAAAAGATTTGAAAATTTTTCTGACATTCGGGGCTTCCTAAATAAATTACCACTCACACTCACATTCAAGATGTAAACAAGAGAGTATCGATGTACTTTTACGATTCGCATTCAAGACGATTGAGCGGCTAGCACATTAAAACTACGCACTCATACAAACCGCGTGCCTGAACCCACAGACTTTACGTACTTTCAAATAAATTGTTTCGACACGCGTATGCATATTAATAGTCTGAAATACGTTGTTTTAACATACGTAAGTGCGCGCGCGCGTGTGTGCGTTTAAACAACGTATCTCTGTAATCCGTCACGTGAATGACAATGAGATAATACCAATGATATGTAGACCTATAATGTAGGAAATTTTTGCCTTCTCATCAATAATAATAAGTAATAAAAAGGGCTAAATTAAAAAATAGCCTTTCATGGTTCTTAATACATCAAAAGTCCTCGTAAATTGTGTCATCATTTAGTGTTATTGAAAGCTATGGTTTTTCAGGATTTTTAGCGAATAAAATGATTTGTGATTTTTTTTATTTTTTATTTTTATTTATTTTTTTTAACGGTAATTCCTAATTTATAATATATAGTTCAATGTTTTTAATGACATTTAGCATTTAAACGTTGTTTTGTTCTGCTTAATATATTGCATACGTAAAAGAAATTTATTCGAGAAATCTGCTTATGAATTTAAAAGAAAGTTCCTTATAATATCTTTAGCGCGTGTGCGTGAGTGCGCGCATGCAGACGCGCCCGCGCGGATTTCTTCATAGCCTAAATATTTGTGTTAAGGACAGTTTACAAACTGTATTGATTTATTGATACATACAAGTTATTTTGGGACCTATTATAAGTTTTTTTTTGTTTTTTTTTTTTTGTTTTTTATTATTTACAAACTTAAGGAAATTTTAAAGAAATTCGGTCTAATCAATGCATTCAACAAGCAAGAGTACACTCGAAATTTTTTATATATTACATATAGATCAGAATTTTGCTCTTGATGAATGAAACATCAATGTTGATGACTTTGTAGTTTATTATGTATTTTATTTGAATAGCTATAAATATTGAACAGTTTATTACAAAATATACTTGGTATATTACGATCGTAAAATTATTCATTTTGAGTCATTTTAAAAGTACTAAAAACTTTTTGTGCGCAATACTTATAAAATGATGCATGTTTATAATCATTAATAATAACTTATGAATCAGTTGATTTTTAATTTTGAAACAGACAAGGCTCTTAACGTTGCTTCTTTATACGTAAAATTGAACATTGTCTATTTAAGTTAAATAATGTCCCATAGTAATCTGTAAAATTGATGGTCATAGAAATGCTGAATAAAATTATGTATCTAGAAACATGCTGAATAATTCATCTCTTTCCCGCCAAGCTACTTCTCTATAAGGTGACAGACTAAAAATACAATACGCACAATTCATTGATTAATGAAATTTTGGAAAATTCATGCTACCATCAGTGCTTGGTACAACCTAGGATTATGACGTCATAGCTTAGAATATATAAAAGCACTTTATCGATTTCGGATAAAATAATTGAAAATTTATCATTGATTACGAATAGAAAGATTTTTTATTTTCTGATTCTACGAGCCATTACGGGTCGAAATTCTCGTCATAATAAATATTTATTTTTATCATAATGCGTATAAATACTAATTGCAATAGGTAAAGGGAAAATGGACTAATAAGAGGAGCGTAAAATAAATTGATTTTACATGAGTACTTTTGCGAACTATTATTGAAAAATATTATCATCCGTAATATTGTAATAATATTGCACGAGGATGGGGAGATTGAAAGAAGGAATGAAAAATTTATAAGAAAATAATCATATTTGTATTTGGCTCGGAATTGCATTCGGCTGATTCGTACAATAACCGTTGAATTTTCTCAGTGAAATATTGAACGTCTGAAAAATAATTGCACACATAAACGAGCGGTAAATATTAAACTGTACCGTAATAATAATACGTTTCGTATTTAACAAATCCTTAATCATTTATCGCAAAAATAGTAGAATCCGCTGAATGTTGCACGCATTAATTTCCCCTCAAATTTCCATAATAAACACGTCGTACTTTTCTAAAACGAGTTCGCGCTCACGTCTTTTTCACGAATAACGTGATATGCGCGATGCGCAAACTCGTTAATGAAAATGACTATTCATTAAAATAATCGTAAAACATAAATGTGTGCATAAGATGGAAAAATAACTCTATTACACTGCAGCATCTTCGCAATGAAAGTTTTTAAATTAATGCACACGCTAAGATGCTGTAAGCACTCCGATTTCTAATATTCTCGTTTCGCGAGCGACGCGCGCGCTTCCTTACCACCGATCGAAATATTGAAAGATCAATATAAGATTTTGCGAATGGCCATGAGCCGAGTGTGATCATAATTGTAAGGGGATTTCAACGTCATGTCGTTTCGGTCTTATCTAATAGTAAAAGTGAATTTAACGTTGGTATGCGGCAGCGCTGCATATCTCACACTTCAATCTGGAGAAATAAGTTTCAGTAGCGGTTACGACGAGCGGAAAAGCAGCGAGATGTAAAAATTATATAGATTAAGATGTTTGTTTATGTAAATCGTCTTCTTGTTTTTTTTTTTTTCCTTTCAATTGGCCATATAATTTATTGTCATTACCATAAGGGCAATTATATCGACTGCTAATGTTGACTATTTTACGTTAAGTGCTTAAGTCTTTATCAATAATACAAAGAAAGTATCGTGGGATTTAAATGAATCTTAGGGATCAAATCTTTAGTGCCAGAGTGAATTTAAAAGTATGTACGCGTTCGTTTATCGTCGTAAATTATTCAGCCAACGCGATTAATCTTCTTTTCTTTGCACGTATTATATATCGTTAACGAGCCGTAAATATCGAGCTTAATTGAAAATTTTTATTTAACTTTTGTCGTATCTCTATCGATTCGCATAGGAACTATTTAGCTTATCTTGGATATTATCGGTCCTTGCTTAAGATTTAATCATCGTTCGTTGAAAAAGTTAACAAAGTTGTGTGAAAATAAGATAAATCGAAAGAAAGAAGAATTTTCGTATGTGACAATTGCTGATTCATCAATGTCTAATTTCATGAATTTTTTGTGTAAATGTAAATTACGGGTCGACAGCTCATCAAAAATAATCCAACATCTACACGAGAGATTCTCGGCTCTTCTAACCATACAGACCCAAAATAGTTAAGAAAGTGTTATTTATATCGAGGCTAATCAAACTGTAGGCCAATGTTACCGAAATATGTTTTTTAATAAAAAAAAAAAAATTTCTTTACTACATTTAACGTTCATTAATATCACATTTGATATGAAAATTAACTTAGAATTATACTTAAGACATTTGTTACACGCTAGAATGTATGCGTATACGTTAGCCCGATATATTATCAAAATCATTTCCAGTAAATTTAAGATAAATATGCGAGTCTATGGTGTTTTATTTTTGTATTTTTGAATTGTTAAGATTCATAACGATAGCATCAACTTCTTTTACAAAAAAAAAAAAAAAAAAAAAAAAAAAAAAAAAAAACCAAAACTTTTGAAACAAAATTAATAAACTTGACAATGTTCTATTATGATATATAAAATATTAAAGAATATAATTAAAAGAGGCATGAAATATTAAATATATTAATTATTAATTAGTTATAAGTGTGAAAGCATAAGTATTAGCGAATCAGATTAATAAGCTGTGCTTAATGCATAAAAATTATTTATGCATTATATTGGAATTGTTGGATAAGCTCGGTATTATAATTCGAAAGGATTTTCTTTCAAAAGTTAATCATGTTTTCAATTATTTTTGACCCTCTTTCAAACCTTTTCCAACATTAACATCAAAGCTACCTCTCCGAAATACTTTTTATCTCCATGACTTTTGACACGTA